CATTCTCCTGCCTTCCAGATTCCACAGGCGATAGATGGATGTAATTAGCCGGGACAAAAGCCTGACTGCTATTGGCTATTTTCATTTGAATTAGCCAATAGCACCCTGTGGGGGAGGGGGTGAGTGGTTGAGGCTGCGCCCTAGGCGGCTGCCTAGTTTGCCTAGTGGCAGCACCGGCCCTGATTATGACAGACTTCTGAATTTCTACAATCTCAGCGTTCCGCTAAAGTCTATATAAAAGCTTTGTGACTTCTCGCCTTCAGAACCGGTATTTGTGGGCTCCCTGGTGGTGCCGGAAAGCAGCTTTAAAGAGGATGACAAACACTACATCTTATTCCGGGAGCGGAGCCTGGAGGGCGAGAACGGGCCCGCCGTGGTGTCTCGGATCGCTCGGATATGTTTGGTGAGATATATACATAACGTGCCTCGTGCTCATTACTTCCCCTTCTTTCTCTTCCATCCTCTGATCTGTAATAAAAACCTTCTGAGCCAAACCCCCGGCCCTCCAGCTGTGGTGAAACTACAAATCCCACGATGCATCTCTCTCTCTGGGAGTTATGTCTGTGGCTGTGAGAATCTTGCAATGCCTCATGGGATTTGTAGTTCCGCCCACAGCTGGAGGGCCGGAGTTTGGCTACCCCTGCCCTAATCCATTCATCCCTATTGTCATCACTGACCCGACATCAGATCATAATGAGTGCAGCTACTTATGTCTAATGTGTAACTGAGGAATGGCGTCTTCTTTCCATCGGCTAGTATCGCCTGATTGATTCCGTTGTATATGATCCACCAGGCCCATCTCTTCCCATCTCTTCCCATTGGGCCTCATATAATGGCACATATACCCCACCTCTAATTATTTGACATGTGCAGATTTGTTATCTCATTTGGTGTTGCCCAATCATTTCTGACTTTTGGGGACAGGTAGTTAAACTCCTACCTACTCCCTATCCCTTGCACACCTAAAATATGGATGAAGACCATTGGCTCCATTGTATGAGAATAATCCCGAGAGAAACATTATTTATGGTCCGTAAGGCTATTGGCATCCGATGATTGGGTTTTCCCCAGGCAGCAATAAAGCTACGCACATGATTTATAAATGGACCACCTAAGACATCTCTACTCTGTTTTCTATGGACCTTCCTGTTTCCTTAACCACCATAGTTAGGGATCAGCTCAGTTTTGGACCAAACCGGGTCTAAACCTGAACTCCTCTGAACCTGGAAGGGACATGGGGGTCCTCCTGTCCACAGCAGCTCATAGACTAAGGGTCAGGATGCTTGTGCTGACATCACAGATGTCATATTAGGTCAATCTAATTGACCAAATATAGCCAGGTGGCCATAAAGCCAATGATCTGATGTCACAGTATCCCCACCCTTTGCTTATGCAGCTGTGGGCAGGTAATTCCCCCGTCAGAGATGATTGGGCGGCAGCCGAAAGAGATTCCTTCTGGGTTCGGAGGAGCTCAGGTTTGGGCTGGGATCAGAGGAGCTCAGGTTTGGGCTGGGATCAGAGGAGCTCAGGTTTGGTCTGGTATCAGAGGAGCTCAGGGTTGGGCTGGGATCGGAGGAGCTCAGGTTTGGGCTGGGATCGGAGGAGCTCAGGTTTGGGCTGGGTTCGGAGGAGCTCAGGTTTGGGCGGGATCAGAGGGGCTCAGGTTTGGGCGGGATCAGAGGAGTATTGAAGAGGTGCATTTGAGTACATTAAGAATCCTGCAGTGGAAGAAACAGAGGGGCTGCCATTGCTATCCTTCCTCTGAAACTGCTAGTTGCCTGGCTGTCTCCATCTTAAGGCCTTCTTGGAAAGTACTGAAGTTACTGGATCAGCATGATAGCCAGGGAACCATTTTTTTTAGAAGTAGAGGTTGGTAACAGCAACATATTTTTATGACAGAGGTGCTCCTATTTTGAATGGTCCACCAAGTCCTCCCCCTTAGACCAGTAGGCCACCCTTTGGTTCTGGGACTAGATGTGGACCTCCTATGTAGATGGGAAGATTTGGCTCTTGAGCTGAGTGTCTGGTTTGCTCCGGGGCTGGCGGGAGATAGATGAGAATCTTTCATTGTATATGATATGTAGCGCTCACCCCCGAAGGAGCCGCTGAATATTGAAATAGGTTCTCCTACCTTTTGGATCCAGCTGCCATTCCCCTTTAATCAGCAACAGCACACCGACACTCACGGACAGAACGGCTCGAGTCTTAGGGTCTTTTTATGGTATTTATTTGCAACATCAATAGGAGAGAGAGGGTTTAGGGTCTGTAGGATGCCATTTGGAAATACTTCTGAGGACAGCTTTCTCCCCTAGCAACCGCTAAGGCCGAAAACACTGCGATCTGGTCCCAGAGACCAATAGTAGTAGTAGTACTGTGAACAGATACCTGGAATAGGGTGTGGGATCTCCCTTGTGGGTCCCAGACGGACGCTCGCACCAGCTCCTCTGCGGTACCCCTCAACAAGCGGACTCCTCCCCGACCCAGCTTCCATCAGGTATTTTCCTCTTTAGGATCTGGAACTTCTGTGCCCTCAGCATCTGCAACTGCCAAGGAGCACTCCAGTTAAATGAGAGTATCTTCTTAGAACAAGGCACCCAACACCTGCCACGTGTATGGGCCCAGTGAAGTATCAGTGTATCCTTAGGCCTCCAGGCCCCTCAGCACCTGCCATGTGCTGAGGCCCAGGCCATTTGCTCTGCATCACACACAGTCCTCCTAGGGCAAGGCCCCTAGGGGAAGAGAGCTCTCCACAATGTCCCCAGACCTTTTATTACCTGCCCTCAACCATGCCTCTGAGTCATCCTACTCAGGGATTGGCTAGGGTCAGGTGCATAGTCATAACCTGAGGGTGGATCCTCCCTCACTGTATGCCAAGGCTCCCTTTTCCTCAGCAACAGGAGGAGCAATCAATCCAGCAGACTCAGGGACACCTATAGAATGCAGAGCTCTGTATAATCAGTATCTAGACTGGTTACAGTCCAGGTATCTCTAAATTGAATAGCGACATTTTAGAGGGCGCTACAGATATTTTGTGTTTTAGTTGTTTTTTTTGTGAAGAACTGTTGTATTCTGTGGAAAGCATTGATAGATAATGTTATTATTTGCCATCGTTGTAGAATGACGAGGGAGGGATGCGCTCCCTGGTGGGAAAATGGACCTCATTCCTCAAAGCGAGACTCGTTTGCTCCGTCATTGGTCCAGATGGAGTGGAGACATCATTTGACCAACTGCGTGAGTACGCCCAATACTGTACATTATACCCGCCATCATTTGCTAGTGCTTGCACTTGTACTCTACTTCCCTGTCTGATCCCATAATCAGCCTGGTGCTTCCCAATATTGGGGAACATAGGGCTCTATCCCCTGCCTCCCACAGTACTGCCCTGGGTGCTGTCCAAGCCCAGCACTGACAAGAAGGCAAAATCCTTAGCGATGTGTTTTTTGGGAGGGCACCAACAGATGGAGAGTAAAGGTATGTACATGGGAAGGGTGCCTACTCTGGCGAACACCTTACATTGCCTTGAACAAGCAACGTACGGGGTAACCTTGAAGATTAGATGTACATACAAAGTTCCCAGCCTAACACAACACACACCCCAGACTTTCCCAATCTGAAAGGCACCTCGCCCCCTAGTTTAGATAGCACATACCCGAGTCTACCTGTGTCCGTGTGCCTCCTGCACACACACAACTCCCCTGAACTCTGGTCCAGACTCCTAATAATGCTTGGTATGTGCTAACAAAGTTCCCAGCCACCAATCCCTACACCACACTAATCTAAACCCCCCACACCCCACCTAGGTCCCCACTTACCTTTTTCCAACAGCAGTGGTCTTCCATGGTATTCACATCCTCCATTCAGAAGCCTTCTGGCCTAGCCTAAGACGTAATGCCCCTTAGACCTAAATGGGCTGTGCTGGTACCTTTGGAGTAAGGGCCCATTGAAGTCTATAGAATGCTACTGCACGGATGTGGGCATGTTGTTATTGTAATACATTGACCATCCCTTGTTGGAGAGAGGTAAGTGGGCACCAGCGTTGGGGTGGGGTTTAGCTTAGGGGAGTATAGTGGGAGATGGGGAGTTTTTATCTGAACCTGAACATGTCCTTTAAGTTTACAGGGTAAGGCTACTGTAAGACGGACACTCGACTGTAGTCAGGAAATGCAAGTAAAGCGCAGGCAAAAAGTCTCTTTCCATCAGCAGGGACTTCCATCACCCATTAGACTTCCATCACCCATTAGACTTCCATGACCCATTAGACTTCCATGACCCATTAGACTTCCATGACCCATTAGACTTCCATGACCCATTAGACTTCCATGACCCATTAGACTTCCATGACCCATTAGACTTCCATGACCCATTAGACTTCCATGACCCATTAGACTTCCATGACCCATTAGACTTCCATGACCCATTAGACTTCCATGACCCATTAGACTTCCATGACCCATTAGACTTCCATGACCCATTAGACTTCCATGACCCATTAGACTTCCATGACCCATTAGACTTCCATGACCCATTAGACTTCCATGACCCATTAGACTTCCATGACCCATTAGACTTCCATGACCCATTAGACTTCCATGACCCATTAGACTTCCATGACCCATTAGACTTCCATGACCCATTAGACTTCCATGACCCATTAGACTTCCATGACCCATTAGACTTCCATGACCCATTAGACTTCCATGACCCATTAGACTTCCATGACCCATTAGACTTCCATGACCCATTAGACTTCCATGACCCATTAGACTTCCATGACCCATTAGACTTCCATGACCCATTAGACTTCCATGACCCATTAGACTTCCATGACCCATTAGACTTCCATGACCCATTAGACTTCCATGACCCATTAGACTTCCATGACCCATTAGACTTCCATGACCCATTAGACTTCCATGACCCATTAGACTTCCATGACCCATTAGACTTCCATGACCCATTAGACTTCCATGACCCATTAGACTTCCATGACCCATTAGACTTCCATGACCCATTAGACTTCCATGACCCATTAGACTTCCATGACCCATTAGACTTCCATGACCCATTAGACTTCCATGACCCATTAGACTTCCATGACCCATTAGACTTCCATGACCCATTAGACTTCCATGACCCATTAGACTTCCATGACCCATTAGACTTCCATGACCCATTAGACTTCCATGACCCATTAGACTTCCATGACCCATTAGACTTCCATGACCCATTAGACTTCCATGACCCATTAGACTTCCATGACCCATTAGACTTCCATGACCCATTAGACTTCCATGACCCATTAGACTTCCATGACCCATTAGACTTCCATGACCCATTAGACTTCCATGACCCATTAGACTTCCATGACCCATTAGACTTCCATGACCCATTAGACTTCCATGACCCATTAGACTTCCATGACCCATTAGACTTCCATGACCCATTAGACTTCCATGACCCATTAGACTTCCATGACCCATTAGACTTCCATGACCCATTAGACTTCCATGACCCATTAGACTTCCATGACCCATTAGACTTCCATGACCCATTAGACTTCCATGACCCATTAGACTTCCATGACCCATTAGACTTCCATGACCCATTAGACTTCCATGACCCATTAGACTTCCATGACCCATTAGACTTCCATGACCCATTAGACTTCCATGACCCATTAGACTTCCATGACCCATTAGACTTCCATGACCCATTAGACTTCCATGACCCATTAGACTTCCATGACCCATTAGACTTCCATGACCCATTAGACTTCCATGACCCATTAGACTTCCATGACCCATTAGACTTCCATGACCCATTAGACTTCCATGACCCATTAGACTTCCATGACCCATTAGACTTCCATGACCCATTAGACTTCCATGACCCATTAGACTTCCATGACCCATTAGACTTCCATGACCCATTAGACTTCCATGACCCATTAGACTTCCATGACCCATTAGACTTCCATGACCCATTAGACTTCCATGACCCATTAGACTTCCATGACCCATTAGACTTCCATGACCCATTAGACTTCCATGACCCATTAGACTTCCATGACCCATTAGACTTCCATGACCCATTAGACTTCCATGACCCATTAGACTTCCATGACCCATTAGACTTCCATGACCCATTAGACTTCCATGACCCATTAGACTTCCATGACCCATTAGACTTCCATCACCCATTAGACTTCCATCACCCATTAGACTTCCCCTGCTACACAACACAGCTTCCAGCAGCAACATAAAGGACAGTGTTTTGTTCACATAAAGGCCGACATTCTCCTAATAATCCGCTTTCTTCAGCATTGACCGTCCTCAGTTTTGCTCCGCAGCTTCCCTCAGCTCCGAGCCTCTCATCACACCTCTGTGCGATCCTTACACTGCTCCCCCTCGAGGGTCGCTGACTC